GAGCCAGCCAGCCAGGATCCGCCATTTAGTCCGGTGCTGCCCCTTAGCTCGGTGTTGCTCCGTATCCTGGTGCTGTCCCTTATCCTGGTGCTGTCCCTTATCCTGGTGCTGCTCCTTAGTCCGGTGCTGCCCCTTAGCCTGGTACTGCCCCTTAGTCCGGTACTGCCCCTTAGTCCGGTACTGCCCCTTAGTCCGGTGCTGCCCCTTAGTCCGGTGCCGCCCCTTAACCCAGTGGGGTTTAGTTGGGGGGTGGTAATGTGGAGGAGGCTAGGGAGGCTGGTGACTAAGGTGGGGTGGGGACCACGACCAGGGGCAGAACCGCCACCGTGGACAGACGCCCACCCAGACCCTCCCCTAGACTGTGGGTTGGTGCGCCCGGAGTTCGCACCTTTAGGGGGGGGTACTGTGACACTCTGGCTCTAGGACTTTTGTATGTGAGCTAGAGTGTATGTTGTTTTGTTGGGGATTTGGGTGTTTTTCTATGTTGGTAGTTCTGTTGGGTGTGTTTCTATGTTTGCAGGTCTATGGGTTATATTTCTAGGTTGTGTGTTGTAGTCAATGACTCCCAATCGGAGGTAACGAGTGTCAGCTGTCGGCTCGTTATCTCTGATTGGGAGCCATATTTAAACTGTCAGTTTTCACCTTGTGTTTGTGGGTTTTTGTTTCCTTGTTACATGTTCCGTGTGTCAGTATTTTGTAACTTGAGGACTTCACGTATCGTCTTTTGTTTTGTTTTCGTGAGTACGTTATTTAATAAATATCATGTTCACTCGCAACGCTGTGCATTGGTCTCCTGTTTTAGACGATCGTGACAAAAACAAAATACTGCTACACTGTTTGTTTGAGTAATTGGAGATGGAAGGGAGTTCCAATGCGATCATGGCTCTGTATAAAACTGTGTGTTGTGGGGAATTTGTTTTGGACTTGGGGACTGTGAAGAGACCCCTCGTGACATGTCTTGTGGGGTATGTATGGGGGTCTGGGCTGAATGTTAATTTGATTATGCAGACAATCTGGAATTTTCCTCACAGTAATATTTCTCATAGAAACTGCATGTTGTTGATGTTAGTTCTGTATGTGCAGAACTGCTGCTCTGTTTTGTGACAGCTGCAGCTTTGCTGGGTCTTTCTTTGCTGCACTTGACCATATTACCAGACAGTAATCAAGATGGAACAAGACCAGAGCCTGAAAGCTAGTAGAACATATATTTTTATAACAGACATACCCCTCCCCATCTTAACAACAACTTTGTCAGTATGACTTGCCCATGATAACTGGCCATCCAATGTTATACCTAGGAGTTTAGCTTCCTCAACTTGCTCAATAGTCACAACCTTTATGTACAACTGCAGTTTAGGTCTTAAAGAATGCTTTTAGTTTGACATCTATTAAAGACCAGTTTATTATTAAATCACCCATTCTGATACTAACTGTAACTCCTTATTTAGAATATATTTGAACTCACTGGCTTTGAGTGTGACATGTAGAGTGTGGAATCATCCACATACATAGCAATTCTAGCTTCGTGTAAGACCAGTAGCAAATCATTTGTAAAAATAAAGAATAGTAACGGCCCAAGGCAACTGCCCTGAGGGACACCGCACTGTACATATCTGATGTTAGAGAAGCTTCCATTGAAGAACACTCTCTGGGTTCTATTGGATAAATAACTCTCCAACCATGTGATGGCAGGTGATGTAAAGCCATAGCAAGTGAGTTTTTTCAATAACAATGTATGATCAATAACATCTAAGACTGCACTGAAATCTAACAATACAGCTCCAACTATCATCTTATTATCCATTTCTTTTAACCATGCATCAGTCATCTGAGTCAGTGCAGTACAAGTAGAGTGCCATTCTCTATATGCATGCTCAAAGTCAGTACTTAACTTGGTCAAACACAAACAGGCAGCAAACTAATTGAGCGGTTGTTAGAGCCAGCAAAGGGTGCTTTACTATTTTTAGGCAGTGGAATTACTTTAGCTTCCTTCCACACCTGTAGACACACACTCCTTTAGGGTTTGGTTAAAGATAGGGGTGGCAACACAGTCTGCTACCATTCTCCATAGTTTCCCATCAAGGTATACATGGTGACTTATCATTAACTAACTTGACCAAATTCACACTAACTTGACCAATTTCAAAACAGCAATCCTTCTCTTTCATTATTAGATATTTTATGCAAAAATATGATGGTTCACGGTTCAGTGTTGTCATTTCCCTTCTGAGTTATTCCATTTTAATAGTCATTGAAATTATTGGCAATATCGAAAGGTTTTGTTATAAATGACCCACCAACTTCAATGAACTGAGATTAATTAGGTTTTCTGCCCACGATATCATTTAAGGTACTCCAAAGTATTTTTCCATTGTGTTTTATGTCATTTATCTTTGTTTGGTAATATAATTTATTATTATTTTTGTTAAATTAAGTCACAACATTTCTCAATCTACAGTGTGTCAACCAATCAGCTGAAAAGCCTGTCTTGTTTGCCACCTCTTTTGCATCATTTCTTTGACAATTTTTACAATTTTTCAATTCATCATCAATCCAGGGGGCTCCAACAGATCTCACAGTTACTTTCTTAACAAGTGCATGCTTGTCAACAATTGGCATAAATAATTGTACAAATACTTCCAGTGCTGCATCTGGATTCACTTCCTCATACACATCTGACCTACATACATTTTTTACATCTTCAACAGAATAATCCTGAGAAAACATTTTTTACGATCTCTTATAAATTACTTTAGTCCCAACCTTTGGCACTTCCACTTCCCTTGTTATTGGCACTATGTTATGGTCACTACTGCCAATGGAAACTGATATTGCTTTGGAGCAAAGCTCTGCAGCATTAGCGAAGATATGATCAATACAAGTGGATGTCACAGATCCAACACTATTGGTATGCACACTAGTTGGTTGAGTGATAACCTGGGTATTATAACAGGCATTAGTCACAGTTAGAAGCTTCCTCTTGAGAGGACAGCTAGTTGCTAACCAGTCAATGTTCAGGTCACCCAGGAAAATAGACCTCTCTGTTAACATCACATACATTATCAAGCATTGCACACATATTATCCAAATACTGACTGTTAGCACTTGGTGGCCTATAGCAGCACCCCAAGAGAAGAAGATTTAGATGAGGAAGCTGAACTTGCAACCACAACACTTCAACAACATTTGACATGAGATCATCTCTAAGCTTTACAGGAATATGGCTCTGAACCTACTGTATACAGCAACACCTCCCCATAGGCATTCCTGTCTTTTCTGTAGATGTTAAATCCCTGTATTGTTACTGCTGTATCATCAAAGGAATCTTGTCATTAAACCTCAGGAACTTGATCACTATCGACCTGAGTCTGTCACCTGGGCTGGTTACATGTTTTCCACCTCAATCTTCGTATTATCCATCGGCAGCTTTTCAGTGACAATTTTTCTTACTTTCTCCTCAGACTCGGCCCAGTTCTCATGTGAAGACTCTGGTATGCCATCCACAACAATATTATTCCTCCTGGATTGTCCCTCTAGTCTGTTTTCCCAGTCATTGTTAATAATTATTCACAGACAGTGCTGATATCATCTCGAGAGGACTTGTTGTCATCTTGCTGCAAGTCTATTTTAGGACATCCACCTCTCCCTGAGAGAACTGCAAACTCTTAAGGTCCTGGACCTCTCTGGTCAGATGGTCCATACTTTTGTTAGTTGAGTCCATCAGTATTAGGACAAAGCTCTTGAAGCAATTTTCCTGTTGTTGTAACAACTGCTTGTAGAACCCCTTTTGTTTGTTTAAAAGATCCTTCACCTGTGATAGAGAAACACTGTCCTTTGGCTTTGGATGCCATGGTAGTAATGTAGGCTAACACTTGGTACTCCACGCAGTTCCAGACAAGGCAGGTCGCAGGGCAGGCAGATTTAAACAGCCACAAACAGCAGGGATTTAGACAGCTACAAGCCTGGGACAATTCACGGTCTCAGCCACAAGGGTTCAACCTGTCAATGAAACCTTGCTAACTTGATAGCTAGTTATCAGCTAAGCTAGCTGCTACGCCAATCAGATCTTCAAACTGTATGGTCTGTTTTTGTTCCAGTACATTCCAATACACGGTGTCACATTACATTCTAATGAGCCATCTTAGAATTGCTGGGAAAGCATTACCAGCTAGACCAAAGTATGACCAGCTAGACCAGCTAGACCATGCTGGACCAGCATGGACCAGCTTGATCACCAGCATACCAGCATCACCAGCACAAGCTGGTATGTATCCAAAACACAGTGAAGGGTGGTCACCAGTGTCCTACACACAGCAAAGGCTGGTCACCAGTGTCCAAAACAGTGCGAAGGCTGGTTACCAGTGTCCAAACACAGTGAAGGCTGGTCACCAGCCAAACCAGCGTAACCAGCTAGACCATGCTGGTCAAAGCAGCTCGACCAGCATCCGGCCAGCACTGACCAGTGTCACACCCTGGCTCTGGGACTCTATTTGTTGAGCCAGGGTGTGTTCATTCTATGTGGTTATTTCTATGTTGGGGGTTCTAGTTTTTTTTTTTCTATGTTTGCCTGAGTGACTCCCAATCAGAGGCAATGAGTGTCAGCTGTTGGCTGGTTGTCTCTGATTGGGAGCCATATTTAAACTGTCTGTTTTTCACTTTGTGTTTGTGGGTTTTTGTTCCGTGTTCGGTCATTGTCACCGTGGACGTTACGAGTCGTTTGTTGTTTTGTTCGTGCTTTAGTTTAATAAAGTAAACATGTTCATTCATCATGCTGCGCATTGGTCTCTCCCTGACGATCGTGACAACCAGCATAGAGCAGTAAGGAAATTTGAAATGTATGCTGGGCTATGCTGTTTTTTTCAGCAGGGTATTCTCTCTTTTTGACATAGAAATTAAGATCAGTTCTCATCCTTTGCTGTTTTTTTCATTCCAGGCTACTCGTTGGAGCTCCCTTTGAAACCAGTGGCCAATACCAGACAGGCGATATATACAAATGCCCGATGGACACCAGTGCCAACACCAACTGCACTAGACTCAACCTAGGTATGACTGAATGAGATAGATAGATAGATTCCATACTGAACTTTTCTCCCCCAAATCACAGCACACCTTCGCATACTTCACAGAATATGATTCCCTCCAGAAGCTGGCTCTCCGACCAGGTGTTTCATTGGATGAGAAACACCTGGCAGCACCGTGTGGTGTAGATTGAGATCTCACATTGTTGACTTAAGTCCAACTCATGCAGAGGAAACTCTACACACTGATATGCCCAGTGGGAGTTATGCATGATGGACAGTTACAGTATGAATTCCCCATATAGGCCTCCCGATGATGCATTAAACATAGTATCATAGCATCAGCTTGACTTTGTGATTTCATTGATATTTTTGAATTTGTCTAATGTTGTTGTTCATTCAATGCAATTTTTTTTATTTTATTTCTCTGTCTGCTTTCATTCGTTCCTTCAAGGAAAGGTATCCCTGAACAATGTGTCAGAGCGCAAGGATAAGATGAGGCTGGGCATGACACTGACCTCCAACCCTAAGGACAACAGCTTTGTGGTGGGTGTCAATTAATGTTGACTGTTGAAAATATTGAATTGAGATTTACTGTGGTCTGTGCTAAACCAAATTGAAGGTGGTTCATCAATGGCTTTGTGTTCCAGACATGTGGTCCTCTGTGGTCGTACGAATGTGGGAGCTCCTACTACAGCACAGGAATCTGCTCCAGGGTTAACGAAAGCTTCAAGTTCTCCAAAACCATCTCGCCGGCCTTCCAGAGTAAAAAAATCTACGTCTCACACACATTCACTCACATACACCTCATAAGACCATGGCTTCCCGGAGTTACTGACTGTTACTGACTGTTTCCCATTGCTTCTTCCAGGGTGCGAGACCTACATGGACATAATGATTGTTCTGGACGGGTCCAACTCCATCTACCCCTGGTACGAGGTGCGGGACTTCCTCATCAACATTCTGCAGAAGTTCTACATTGGGCCAGGTCAGATCCAGGTGTGTTATCTGAAATTCTGATCTGATTCTGATAGGCAGTATGTGTATACACCTGAATGGGTATTATTCGGTGCTTCATGCAGTGTGCCAGTGAGTGTATAGTCGGGTCCAAAATTATTGGCACCCTTGGTAAAGATGAGCAAAAAAGACTATAAAATAAATAATACAAATACTGAGCTATATTTTATTGTATTGTATGCAACAACAAAAAAATGGTCAGAGAAAGAGATTTTGTTTAACAATTAATTTCAATACTTCAGCACTCTCAATACGGCACTGAGCCTCTTAGATAACACATCTGAATTTTTGCCAAACACCTGGTTGCCTCTGCCAGGAGGCTGAAACCCCAAAGCACACATCAAAATCCACAAAGAAGTGGTTAATTGACCACAAAATCTACGTATTTGCAGTGGCCATCTTAGTCTCCAATTGAACCCCATTGAAAACCTGTGATTTGAATTGATGAGGGTCTGTAAGCACAGACAAAGGATATCAAGGATCTGGAAAGATTCTGTTCAGAGGAATGGTCTAAGATCCCTCCCAATGTGTTCCCCAATCTCATAAAACATTTTAGAAAAAGGCTCAGTGTCGTTATCCTCGCAAGGGAAGGGCACTGGAGAATTGAAAACAGGGGTGCCAATAAACAGGGCCCCCTATCTTTTTTGTATATATTTCTATTACTTGTTAAACAAAATCTCTTTCTCTGAGAAATGTTATTAGTATAAAATAATAGAATTTCCAAAATAATTTGCATACAATATAGCTCAGCATTTGTATTATTTATTTAATGTAGTCTTTTTTTATCATCTTTATAAAGGATGCCAAAAATGGTGGACCTGACTGTATGTGTGGGAGCCAGTATCTCTACATTCTATGTGGAAGTTGTACCCACAGGCACAGATCTAGGATAATCTTTATCTTCCTCAAATCCTAACCTTAACCATCAATGGGGAAAATACGTCGCTGACTTTAGATCAGCACCCAGGGGCAAGTGAATCATAATCCTATCTCTACAGGTAGGAGTGGTGCAGTATGGGTCGAGGGTGGTCCATGAGTTCACCCTGAATGACTTTCGCTCCGTGGAGGAGGTGGTAGAAGCAGCCAAGACCATCAACCAACGAGGAGGGGAGGAGACACGCACAGCCCTGGGCATCAATGTGGCACGGTATGGTGAGCTGGTCCACACTGGCCATAACCCTTATCCTAATCCCAAGTTTCTCAGTATCATTTTCCATAGTATTGCCTTCCGAACAGGGAGCAAAATAAAGCACTTTGTTGCTGAATTGTTGCTGATTTGGTTGTGCAGTGTGTTGAGGTAAAGGCTAAATTGCTAATACTGTTTATCCATAATGATTGAATGGCTAACTACCCGGTAGTTACTCATAAGGGTTAATGAGTTGGCTGAGAAAACACTGTATTCGCTCAAAGGACGGAGGGATTTAAACGGGGAGGTCGGAAAGGGGCTAAAAAAGTGATGCTCGTGATCACGGACGGTGAATCCCACGACAGCCCTGACCTGCAGAAGGCCATGGAGGACAGCAAGGCGGACAACATCACCACGTATGCCATCGCTGTGAGTCAGTCTGTCACTTTTTATATTCCCCTGGAACACAGTAATCCCATCCTCTGTTCCTTCTACCACATACTGGCCTATCACTTACATGTTAAATCGTTTCCATATCCTGTGCTTGAATTGATGTTACTATATGATATTTCTTGTGCATCTGCCTACTCTTCTATCAATGTTCTATAGTATTTCCAGATCATGTGCCTAGTATTCTTTTGACGTTCTATGGTATTTCCAGATCCTCTGTTTGGTAATGACATTGAATGTACCACCAGGTATTGGGCTACTACAATCGGCGTGGGATAAACCCAGAGGCCTTCTTGAAAGAGATCAAGTATATCGCCAGTGATCCTGACGACAAACACTTCTTCAACGTGACTGATGAGTCGGCGCTAAAGGACATAGTGGACGCCCTGGGAGAGAGGATCTTCAGTCTAGAGGGTATTCTCCTTTAAGGAGCCTTTGGTTTCACTGATCAAGTGTTCAAGGGATTGTAATCTCAGAAACAGAACCCAGAAATAAATCTTGCATGTATTAGCTAGCTAGCTCCGTTTACTTCTGGGGGTGGACGTGGCTGAATTTGAACAGCGTTTAACGTCTCTAGAGATTGAATGGAATTGTGAAGTTTGTAATGGTGGTACTAGAGAACAGTTCTGGAGGACTCCATTGTAGCAGACTGTGATGATTATTATAATGAAGTGTGTAGACTAACTGTCTCTTCACTGTTTTCCACAGGAATGAACCCCAACGGGACAGGGTTCGGTCTGCAGATGTCTCAGGCAGGCTTCTCATCACACATAGTGGAGGTGAGTCTCTGAAATAAGTCACCACATGAGTCTAACCTGGGATCTGATTTTATACTCACTAACTGACTCTCATTCTCACACTTTATTGGAATAGACAAGTGGTTTGACAGGTTCTTCATTCCAAAAAAGATGGGTGTGTAAAGGGTTGTTACGGTGACCGTATTAACACCACACCTGCGGTAACGAGTCATGACCTCGGTCAAGTTCCACGTGACTGTTGAGTCACGGTAACTAGGCTATCAATTACACAGCAAACTATCAGCATACTGTATATTTAGCGATCTAGCTAATGCATTTTGAGTTTCCACTTCCTCAGATGGTGAATTAGCCAAATACATACACTACCGGTCAAAGGTTTTAGAACACCTACTCGTTCAAGGGTTTTCTTTATTTTTACTATGTTTTACATTGTAGAATAATAGTGAAGACATCAAAATTATGAAATAATACATATGGAATCATGTAGTAACCAAAAAATTGTTAAACAAATCAAAATATATTTTATATTTGAGATTCTTCAAATAGCCACCCTTTGCCTTGATGACCGCTTTGCACACTCTTGGCATTCTCTCAACCAGCTTCACCTGGAATGCTTTTCCAACAGTCTTGAAGGAGTTCCCACATATGCTGAGCACTTGTTGGCTGCTTTTCCTTCACTCTGCGGTCCGACTCATCCCAAACCATCTCAATTTGGTTGAGGTCGGGGGATTGTGGAGGCCAGGTCATCTGATGGAGCACTCCATCACTCTCCTTCTTGGTAAAATAGCCCTTACAAAGCCTGGAGGTGTGTTGCGTCATTGTCCTGTTGAAAAACAAATGATAGTCCCACTAAGCCCAAACCAGATGGGATGGCGTATCGCTGCAGAATGCTGTGGTAGCCTTGCTGGTTAAGTGTGACTTGAATTCTAAATAAATCACAGACAGTGTCACCAGCAAAGCAACCCACAATATAACACCTCCTCCTCCATGCTTTACAGTGGGAAATACACATGTGGAGATCATCCGTTCACCCACACCGCGTCTCACAAAGATCTCCAATTTGGACTCCAGACCTAAGGACAAATTTCCACCAGTCTAATGTCCATTGCTCGTGTTTCTTGGCCCAAGCAATTCTCTTCTTATTATTGGTGTCCTTTAGTAGTGGTTTCTTTGCAGCAATTCGACCATAAAGGCCTGATGCACACAGTCTCCTCTGAACAGTTGATGTTGAGATGTGTCTGTTACTTGAACTCTGTGAAGCATTTATTTTGGCTGCAATTTCTGAGGCTGGTAACTCTAATGAACTTATCCTCTGCAGCAGAGGTTACTCTGGGTCTTCCATTCCTGTGGTGGTCCTCAGGAGAGCCGGTTTCATCATGGCGCTTGATGGTTTTTGCGACTGCACTTGAAGAAACGTTCAAAGTTCTTGAAATGTTCCGTATTGACTGACCTTCATGTCTTAAAGTAATGATGGACTGTCGTTTCTCTTTGCTTATTTGAGCTGTTCTTGCCATAACATGGACTTGGTCTTTTGCCAAATAGGGCTATCTTCTGTATACCCCTCCTACCTTGTCACAACACAACTGATTGGCTCAAACACATTAAGAAGGAAAGAAATTCCACAAATTAACTTTTAAGAAGGCACACCTGTTAATTGAAATGCATTCCAAGTGACTACCTCATGAAGCTGGTTGAGAGAATGCCAAAAGTGTGTATGTCACACCCTGGTTCGGGGACTCATTATGTTGAACCAGGGTGTGTTCATTCTATGTTTTCGGTTTCTCTGGTGGGTGTTCTAGGTGGTTTATTTTCTATGTTTGCCGGTGTGACTCCCAATCAGAGGCAAACGAGTGTCAGCTGTCGGCTGTTTGTCTCTGATTGGGAGCCATATTTAATCTATCTGTTTTCCTTTCGGGTTGTGGGATTTTGTTCGTGTGTGTGCGTGTTGTACCACAGACGTCACGGTTTCGTTGTTTGTTTTGCTCGTGTGAGCATTTAATAAATATACTATGTTCACTCAACACGCTGCGCTTTGGTCTCCTCCTTCACACGATCGTGACAGAAAATCCCACCAAGACCAGACCAAGCAGCGTGTACAGGAGCTGAAGGGCGATAATTGGAAACAGAGGAGCGAGAAGTGGGCGAGAATGATGGAGGCCTGGTCCACGGGGGGGAGAGACCCCCAGGAAATTTTTAGGGGGGGGCTCACGACGTCGGGGCAGCAGGTGTACGGGTTGGAGGAGTGCAGGAGGTTGGCAGATAGGGCCGCCAGGTTAAGGGGGCCACTGGTCACGAAGGGGAAGGAAGGTGTAGAGGCACGGCCAAGGGTACTGGGGTGTGTTACCAGTCCGGTCCGGCCCGTTCCTGATCCCCGTGTAGGGCCAGGGGTGTGTGTCCTCAGTGCGGTCCTGTCTGTTCCTGTTCCTCGCATGGAGCCTGTGGTGCGCGTCCCCAGCCCAGCCCGGCCTGTTCCGGCCACTCGCACCAAGGATACGGTGCGCGTCGCCAGCCCGACCCGGCCTGTTCCGGCCACTCGCACCAGGGATACGGTGCGCGTCGCCAGCCCGACCCGGCCTGTTCCGGCCACTCGCACCAGGGATACGGTGCGCGTCGCCAGCCCGACCCGGCCTGTTCCGGTCACTCGCACCAGGGATACGGTGCGCGTCGCCAGCCCGACCCGGCCTGTTCCGGCCACTCGCACCAGGGATACGGTGCGCGTCGCCAGCCCGACCCGGCCTGTTCCGGCCACTCGCACCAGGGATACGGTGCGCGTCGCCAGCCCGACCCGGCCTGTTCCGGCCACTCGCACCAGGGATACGGTGCGCGTCGCCAGCCCAGTCCGGCCCATCCAAGCTTCCCGCACCAAGTCTGTGGTGCGTCTCGTCAGCCCTGTCCGGCTCGTCCCTGCTCTCCGCACCAAGTCAGTGGTGTGCGTCGCCAGCCCATTCCGGTCCATTCCTGCTCCACGCACCAAGCCAGGGGCGCGTGTCGTCAGTCCGGCTCCGGCCAGCGGGGCTAGACAGGACCAGGAGTACTTTGGGGGGTTGGAGAGGAAGTGGGGATCAGGCCCGGAGCCGGAGCCGCCGCCGAGGAAGAATGCCCACCCAGCCCTCCCCTGTTTTGCTCGTATTTAGGCGCGGTCACAGTCCGCGCCTTTAGGGGGGGGTACTGTCACACCCTGGTTCGGGGACTCATTATGTTGAACCAGGGTGTGTTCATTCTATGTTTTCGGTTTCTCTGGTGGGTGTTCTAGGTGGTTTATTTTCTATGTTTGCCGGTGTGACTCCCAATCAGAGGCAAACGAGTGTCAGCTGTCGGCTGTTTGTCTCTGATTGGGAGCCATATTTAATCTATCTGTTTTCCTTTCGGGTTGTGGGATTTTGTTCGTGTGTGTGCGTGTTGTACCACAGACGTCACGGTTTCGTTGTTTGTTTTGCTCGTGTGAGCATTTAATAAATATACTATGTTCACTCAACACGCTGCGCTTTGGTCTCCTCCTTCACACGATCGTGACAGTGTAAAGCTGTCATCAAGGCAAGGGGTGGCTATTTGAAGAATCTCAAATATAATATATATTTTGAATTGTTTAACACTTTTTTGGGTTACTACATGATTCCATATGTGTTATTTCATAGTTTTGATGTCTTCACTATTATTCTACAATGTAGAAAATAGTAAAAATAAAGAAAAACCCTTGAATGAGTAGGTGTTCTAAAAACTTTGGACCGGTAGTGTATTTTATATATTTTACCAATAAGATGTACCTTTTGTTGGTGCGTGCAAATGCGAGTGCATATGTCATTTCAACTGAACATTGTGGTTCCATTAAGGAAGAATAAAATAAAATAAATTGGTCACATACACATGGTTAGCAGATGTTATTGCGAGTGTAGCGAAATGCTTGTGCTTCTAGTTCCGACAGTGCAGCAATATCTAGCAAGTAATATCTAACAGTTCCACAACAAAAACCTAATACACACAAATCTAAGTAAAGGAATGGAATAAGAATATATAAATATATGGATGAGAAAACAAATAAATCTTATTCATACTGAATTGTCGGGAGCTGGTAATTCTTCTAACACATTTATAACGTTCGTATTTTATCAACACTGTCGAGTACAAGGCTAAAATATCGTTCAGATTAATATAATAATTTAATGTGATGTATAATGACATAGGGTAAAGAAAACTACATTTACCATAGCACCTTCTTGAACTGACCTATATTTTCCTGCATTCTTTAGCACTGAGTGGACCCAGGTATTTGTTTAGTTAGAACGCAGGTGAAATCTATTAAAACACAGATTTTGATAGGAGTTAGAGGTCCCGTTATGAAATGGATCCAGAGCTTCCCACCCGTACCTGATATACACTATACAGTGCATTCGGAAAGTATTCAGACCTTGACTTTTTCCACATTTTGTTACATTACAACCTTATTCTAAAATGGATTAAATTGTTAATGATATGGTAATACAAAATGTAAGTTTACACACTCCCAGGAATGTCATATATGATGGTTCATTAGCTTATACACTAACTTTCACACATCTAGATGGCCGGGCGGGGTGGGTGTGGAGCCAGAGACAGCAGGGGTTCAAACTGTAGAACCCAGTTCCTACATTTGAATACAAAACTATGCTACATTTTATCTCTGGGACCCTTAGGATGACGAATCAGAGCAAGATTACTGAATGTAATTACATTATTTACCTTCAGAGGTGAATGTATCAAACCAGTTGCCGTGATAAGTTTTTTGTTGTTGTGCACTCTCCTGAAACAATTGCATGGTATTTTTTCACTGTAGTTGCTACTGTAAATTGGACAGTGCGGTTAGATCAACAAGAATTTAAGCTATGTCTATGTCCTGGAACCAGTCATGCTAATCACATTAGCGCACGTTAGCTCAACCGTCCCGTATACGGGACAACGATCCCGTAGAGGTTAAAGAAGGATTTTTAAGCCTTCAGTCAATTGAGACATTGATTTTGTATGTGTGCCTTTGAAAGGGGGTATGGTAGTAGGTGCCA